AACTGTAGTAGTAGGCTTTATGCAACGGAAAAGGAAACCTCACTTTAGAGAGATTGGATGCTTGGCCAAGAGAAGGGGAATGTGTAATTTGGACTTAAAACCGGCACTGAAGAATTATCTATCAAACCAAAAATTTCATCGAAATCAGATGAAAACTATGGAAACGCATAAACAACGTCCGATCACGCACATACACACATACATACACACACAAATTTTGAGATTTATAGGTATAGATAATATTATTGTAATAATTTTAAAGTATTTATTTTTATTAAAGATTTTATAAAATATATATATCCAAGAACAGATAGTAAATAGTAAAACGTTGCGGAGAGATATAATAAAGAGGAAGTAGTGGAGAGCCATTGTCGCCAACAATTTGGACTCAAAACTGGCACTGAAGAATTATCTATCAAACAAAAAAATTCATCGAAATCGGATGAAAACTGTGCAAACGCATAAACATCCGATCACACACACATGCACATACATACACACACACATTTTGAGAATTATATATATATATATATATATATATATATATATATATATATATATATATATATATATATATATATATGTGTATGTGTTTTAAGGAAATAATTATTTATTTTTTATGCATAATCCGATATTACTTATTACTATATACGTTATATTTAGTGGTTACACGTGTTTGAGTAGACTCCATTGTTTTTTCGTTTACCGATCACGGTTTTTTATTCACGAATCGTTAATAAAGAAAATGTGCCCGTTGTTAGGATTCGAAGCTGTGTCCCCGTTATTAAGTGTTTTTATACGGACTCAGTCGAAAGGCGGTATGCCTTTTAGTAAAGACTGTCGGAAAACCCAAGCCGGTAGGCGAAATACATATTGTTTAAAAAAAAAACAGAGATATCCACTCAAACACGTGTATATATATGTTGAGTCGGAAACCTACCACCCCTCTTGAAGATGAACTTGTCTGCGTCTGTGAACAAAGACTTTAAATAGTGGGCATGTCAGTTGACATGGGAAGGAGACAGATAGACAGAGAAGTTCTTAGCTGAGCTAGTTATTGACTACTCAGGCGATTTCTGTACCTTTTTACCAACCTATTAAAACTCTTTTTATTGTTACGTGTTATTTGGTGTTTGTCTCTACTAACCCCAAATCAACATCATAACAATATATATATATATATATATATATATATATATATATATATATATATATATATATACACGGACTCTTACCGTTGAGAATAGCGAATGCGTTTCATTGAATAACCTGAACAAGCTAATTGTTTAAAGCCTTCAATTACCTGTATCGGCGCCTCGATATGCAGTAATGGCTATCGAGTCTTACCTGTATCCTCTCCATCATAAAACTGGTGCACTGTTTGCCACATGTCTGATGATGCAACACTCGCAGGCTTTGGCGAATATCTCTTAGTTGCAAAGTGGCCGTAGTCTCCTGTAAGAATCTCAGCTTCCATTTGCCAACCTTCTCTAAGCCAGCTGAGATTAAATTTTTCCTTCTCTTGGACTGGTTGCCAACTAAACTTATAGGGCCTAGTCTGTTCTGTTATTTACCCATAGAAATGAAGAGAAGAGATGGGTCTATACCATTCCCAAGGGTATTTGCACGTATGTGAATGTCTCAACTGGAATGCGAACTAGGTTCTCCGATTTATCATTCTGAGCCGTTCTTCATTACACCACCCGCACATCCAAGCTTACAGCACCTGGTATTCACAAGCGGTCACCAGTCTAGATACTGACCAACCTCAACGCTGCTTAACTTCCGTAATTGGATGTTTCAGCTGATAGATTATAAATAGATGTCTCAATTCAAACTTTGAATCAGTTTTCCCCACGTATTTATATTACGACAAAAAATTCAATAAGCACAATCCTTCGACATCATTCACTTGAACTTGTGTCATACTAGACTAAATAGGTAAGTATCCTTTTTTTATCTATTCGGCCGGAATAATGATTGAAAAAAAACCATTGAAGTTGTACACTCCCTTGTTCCCTGTATAAGTGCGTGCTTTCAGACGATGGGTGAATTGTGATAGCCTTAGGGTTTAAGAGAGAGAATCGTTAACATAAGTGAGTACTTTTTTGTTTCATGAAGTTTAGCAGGAAATTCGTCGCTTCTACTTGGCAAATGGACACAAATAAATTTGTCCTATACTAATGGAAACGGGAAGTCAGAAAAATACGAACATAGATAGATAGATAGATAGATAGATAGATAGATATATAATGAACTAAGATAGATAGATAGATAGATAGATAGATAGATAGATAGATAGATAGATAATGAACTAAGATAGATAGATAGATAATGAACTAAGATAGATAGATAGATAGATAGATAGATAATGAACTTAGATATTTTATTTACTGCATTCCCCACCATATAATGCACACTTTTTCCTAGAAGAGCATTTGCTTTATGAATTATCCTGCGCACCACACCAAAATGTTTAGAGTTTGAAGTATGCCAAAGGGTTGCGGTGATTGGTACCCCACCACAAAAAAATTGGCGAAAACTGCTCCAGATTTTGGCGTGATTTATCGTCTACATAATATTAATTAAATCCACAGATGTGTCGACACATCGGCGCCTCGATATGCAGTAATGGCTATCGAGTCTAATCAGATTGACCATTACAAACGAATAGTGAGTTCGATCCTCACTGAATGCCCCATGCAAAAATTCGACATGAAATAAGCCAACAACTGTTGCCATGTCGTAAATTGAAGCAATCAAATCGACACAGATTTATAATGATTATCACCGGCACAGACATACAGTTTCTGTACAACGTCATAACAAGCATACGGTTCTTGAGAACGGTGTTGAGCGGTCTCTGACTGCGCACACCTTCTGTCGAACTCTCTGCATTAGCAGAGAGGAACCCGGACGAGGCTTTGCCGAAGGGCAAGGTTTCGTCCGGGGAGGTAGACAGAGCCTGAACCCGTCTAATCGGCTTCAAAAGGCTATTTTTTTGGCCGAGCCTACGGGCTCGGAGAAACCCACAATAAAACAGGCCTTGTGCCATATTCGTTTCCTGTGGGTGAAATGATAAATACCATACGGTTCTTGATTCAATGACTTTATGCAGGATTAGGGCCACATCACGTTGAAACGCCGATTTCCGTGCGATCTTCGAAGTTAAGCAACGTTGAACCTAGTCAGTACCTTGATGAGTGACTGACCGCTTTAGATTAACAAGTTCTGGAAGTTTGGATGTGCGGTCGTTGTAATGGATTATGGCTTGAAACTGTTAATCGGAGAGCCGAGTTCCATTTCCATCTTGGTTCGTCATACTTATGTGTCAATATCATTGGAAAAGGTATGAATCCACCTCTTCTCCTCAGATATGGATTAATTAGTAAGATTTGTATCATTAAAACGAATGTTATCACTAGAAAAAAATGTATCCAAGATATTTAGATTTTGACATTAAATAAGCCATAGAGGTTGATATGCTGCTAAAAAAGTAGACTTTATGAACTGATTGTCTCTTTGTTTCTCAACATGAATGCACGCCCCATGGGATAATGAATTTGATTTTTAAGTGGGGGGGGTCAATTCTAGAATGAATGATTAACAATGAATTTTGTTTCTAGGGATTCTATGTGAGTATGTGTGTGTACGAGTTAAGATATACAGTGCATATACAGTATGCATACAAAAATATTTGTGTGTATGTATGTATATCTGTCATTACGTATGTACTGTATATAATATAAAATATAAATATTTATATTAGTAACACAATATTTTTATAAATAATGTAAAATCCTAAAATTAAAAGATAATTGTATTGCATATATGTAGTCTCAAGTTCTTAAGGAAACTTGTGAGAGTATACAAAGGTATGCTGAAACATAATACCTCTAATAAGAGGAATTATATATCCATTTAATAAAGTCTTTATCTATCTATCTATCTATCTATATATATATATATATATATATATATATATATATATACATATATATATATATATATATATATATATATATATATATATATATATATATATATATATATATCTGTGTGTGTGTGTGTGTGAAAAATTTCTCAGAGTTGACCTGTAGTGTTGTTGCATGTATTTTTCATATTTGTCGACATGGAAAACAAAAACATACACATAGATATAGTCAGAACACACACATACACACACACACACACACACACATATATATATATATATATATATATATATATATATATATAATCAATAATGTGAATAGGAGTTCACTTCTTGAATAATAAGAATTATATGCCATGAGGTGCATCAGGATTTTAGAAATGCTCAGGTGGGTCCGGCCCCACTCCAAAATTTTGGAATCACTGAATTCGTTCGACAAATGCACTTGCATGTGCATAACAAATAGTGCACTCTTTTTTCTTTTCTTTTTTTGTTTTTTTTTAGGGAGGGGCTAATATGTTTAAACTATGACACTTTCTGGCAGGACAATGAGCTCAGAGCTTGGCCAAGGACATCTGAGATGAGTACAGTTGTAGCCAATGTACACCATTAGATGTGGTGGTAGCGTAATTGAAATCGGTGAGCCAGGATCAGATTTGTTCCTTATCTATTGTGTTTATTTATGTTTACTTTTGTACAAATACCCTTAAGAAAGTCCTGAATCTATCTTTGCCTGTCCAATATCAGCTATAGGTTTAAACACCGGGGTGGACCGTGTTTTCTAGCTTTGAGGTGCAGCCAGTCTAAGCGAAGGGATTTTTTATGGCTTATCAACCTTTTGAGGTTACTTAAAGCTAGAAAATATTTTTGGACTGTAAGAATTTGGTGAGATAATAACGATATAGTAATAAAAATCCTACTAATTAACCCATAGTTGGGGGAGAAGAGGTAGATTCATACCTTTCCCAAGGGTATTTGTGCGTTAGTAAATATAACAGACCAACAGCTCTTCGATTTCCAATTCCATTTCCAAACAGTTATCCATTACACCACCCGCACATCCAAGCTTACTGCACCTGATATTCCCAGCCAGTCACCCAACTAGATACTGACCAGGCCCGACGTTGTTTAACTTCGGTTATCGTACGAAAACTGGTATATGAATGTCATATGGCTATGAGCCCCCTAATAGAAGGGCAAATCTAAATTCAAAAACCGCGGAGAAGACAATAGCCAACCACTCCACTATATTTCCCAGGAAGACGTGTCAATTCACCGATTATAGCAAAGGAAACTGTGGAGAGTCATGATCGCATACGTCCTGAAGGAATCATCATCACCATCAGTCCACATGACCGGGTGTGGTCGTAGGATCGCTGAGTAGCTGAGCAACTGACATATCTAGGTTGAGAGCCGAAAGAGGTATTCATCCATGTAATGCATGCACTGAGCAAGCAAATCTGAAGAATCCCATCCCTCTCCAGATCAAAGCACAGCTGATGTCAGCCTTGGTTACGACCATGTTGCCGTTGATTTTACTGGGAGTAACTCTCCACTCTAGCCGTTGACTTCAGTCTAGGAAGCCCTCCGCCCGGCGATGCTGGTCAGTCACCACACTGTGTTCATAACTACCGAGGCCAATGTACCCAATTGTCTTGGAGGGTCGTTGACCCTACAAGAAGTTTCACCCTGTTGTGTTTCTGTCTAATCTTGTCACCAAAAGAGCCTGGTGAGGGAACAGGTTTAGTCGCTGGTGACCCGACCATGAGAAAGGCTATGGCGCACTAGAGAAAAAAAATTGTTATTTTATTCTAGGTTTAGCGAAATAGGAATGAATTCCAGGATTTTTATAGGCTTTTGGTAACGGCATTAAGACAGAATTCTGTCCTTGAACCATTCATACTGTGCAAAAAAATATTATTTACTGACATTTGTTTCGAACTTCCTTTCTTTTTTTACAAGTATTTTCCAGTTTTTATGGGATATAAATCCTCTTAGACGGCAGTGAATGCTTGACAATCTTCTGACAGGTGAAGAGAAAACTGGGGTAACAGAAGATGGTTCAACAGAAAGATACTGAAAATTCCACGGACGGAGCGAAAAACAACGAGGACGGCTTTAAAAAATTGTGACAAAAAGAAGACTTATAATCAAAATCATAAAAAGACATTGGATTTTATCAAGGATCTCTAGATACATAGCAAGAGCGCCGCACCATAAGAAACAGCAATATTCTAATCATGGACGAATGGTAGAAAAATAGTGCCCCCGACAAGAATCGAACCCGAATCCTTTTTTTTTTTTTTTTACTTCAGAGAAACCACTTCTTCTCCAACTATTCAAATGCAATGTCAATCGACATCTTCAGATGCCTTGATATAATTCTCCGTCCTTCTCTTCATTCATTCCTCTTTCACGCCTCTTTACTCTTGCTCCCACTCTCTGTAACCCCTTGCGTGCTAGTGGCACTCCTGCCTTGCTTGGGGTGAAATGCTTAAAAAAATCTTAAAGAAAATTAGACCCTAGAAACCGACGCTACAAATTCACAAAAGATGAGCTATACCAAATAACTAAAACCACATTTATTTGATGACTTCCAAAAGCAGCAACAACAAAAATGGTTAGCACATTACGAGAACAGAAAATGATGATATAACCAAGTTGCTAACTTTCCATCAATATCAGAAAGTGCTATAACAGTGAGGGAACTTAAGAAATGTAAATTCCTGAAGGAAAAAAAACTGTTCAAAAGAAACATTTCGTAAATGTCAACCGACAGTAACAGTAACTGTTCGGTCAATGAATGCTGAATATTTCTTGTATGGAAACGGATAATCTCACAATTACCATTAAAGCCAAAAGACGTTTCATGACGCCAGTTGATAATACGCAACAACTTCAACATCCAAGCAGGACGCTGGTTATGCATCTATTTAATAAATTTTCAAAATTGAATATTATCATTACCATAGATCAAATAGAATTGAAGTTGATCAAATAAAATTGAATTCACTCATGTTATTACTTCGCTTATGCTATTCCATAGACTACTTCAGCCTGTGAGATGTGAGATGGGATATTTATAGAAGTAATCTTTGCCCAAAAATGGGATTATTCGGATTAATAATTTCATTATCCTGTACAGCGTTTCTCTATTCTTCCGGTGATTCGGTGCACATTACAGATATTTCACATCCATTACTTGTACTGGTTGAGAGAATAGGTTTGTTAACGTAATATTCCATTTATTTTGCCCAATAACAAAATAAATTATCGTGAAGTGATTTGATTTGGTTTAGAAATACATATTCTTCAAGCCCTACCGTATGTTTCTTGAGTTGACTTACCAGAATACATTTTTCCTTCCACTGAAACACACACGCGCTTGGGAAAATAGACACTACGGACAATTTTACATTCCCTTAATTCCTCCAATTGTAAAAATTTAAGAATATTAGAAAAACTAAATAAAAAAAAATCATTAAACTTTCCTTGTCTGTCATATTCAACGAAACAGAGAAGCTAATAAAGACAAAATAACAGAAAAAAAAGCAGGAGAATAGAGACTGGACTTCGAATCCGGCTGCCAAAACTTTTCCTGCAGTCGTTATGGAAAACAAGATCCACCGTATAAATCACACTAAGTCCCGTGTTTTCTGTAAACATAGGAAAGCTTTTCC